AATGAATTGCAATCCTATATAGTAATGCAATTTAATTAAAGTTTGTTTAATTGAACTCAAATGAATTGCAATCCTATATAGTAATGCAATTTAATTAAAGTTTGTTTAAATGAACTCAATTATATCGCAATCCCTTAAAGTACCTTATGCAATTTAATTAAAAGTTTAATTAAACTCAAATAAATTGCAATCCAATATAGTAATGCAATTTAATTAAAGTTTGTTTAAATGAACTCAATTATATTGCAATCCTATATAGTACCTTATGCAATTTAATTAAAAGTTTAATTAAACTCAAATAAATTGCAAATCTATATAGTAATGAAATTTAATTAAAGTTTGTTTAATTTAACTCAAATAAATTGCAATCCTATATAGTAATGCAATTTAATTAAAGTTTAATTAAACTCAATTAAATTACAATCCTATATATTTCATTACAGTTTAATTAACTTGTCTCACAGTATTCTGGGTTTATGAAGTTGCTAATGTTATCAGTAAAATTGGGACCACTTTGATTGAAACAGTAGATTATAGCAAGCGCAATGAGAACAATCAAAGTTTGCTCATGAAGCAAGCCCTACAAATAATATGTGTATATGGAAGAAATCTATATGCCCTACGAGTTTGAAAATGGTGCACTTTAGGTCAACTTTATTCTTTGCTTGAACTGATTTTGGTATGAACAACACACCTGATGTTTTGTTTTGTTATTTAATATTTTTAGAGCACTTAATAACCCCCCTCCAACATTTGACTTATAATCTATATCTTTCATCATGTGTATTTGATACTGTTACAAAAATATTATTAGGGGCTATGTCATTGACAATGACTTGTTTTCATTAAAGGAAATGTAATCTATAACATATTCAAGGTTGTTTAAAACTATTGATGTTCAATTGCATCAAAAATGACAATAAGGAGAGTGTGCATATTAAGTAGTATGATTTATGAGTGTTTTATAAACTAAATACTGTACAAATGACGGATACCGTGATGGGCGACATTGTTGTACAAAACAACGCCCTTATAAAGAAGTATGGGGTTATGAAGCAAGGGATTGTGGGAGAAGTGATTGATTTCCCTGATATAATTGTGGCTTAACTAAAGCTCAAATACATAAAAATACATACTTCTCCGTAAGTTGTGGATATATACACAACATTCGGAAAATTGCAAGTACTAACTTCACACACGTTTGTTCACAAGGGTCTCTCGTTCACACAACATGTGCAATGATGATAACAATCTACTACAGAATCATAAATGTGGGATAGGTTTACCTTTTCTTTAAATAAGGAATCACAGTAAAAAACTCTGGATTCGATTCCATGTCAATATTGATGGTATTCTTTGACCTACATGTAGTTCAAAAGAGATTTTGACAATTGCAATTGTCTAATTTTGACAAAATGTCACTTGAGTTATGTTTATTATGTACTTTTGTTCTGCAGGCTGGTGGAGTTGCTGGTACTTCTGTTGACATAGCTTTGTTTCCCATTGATACAATCAAAACACGCTTGCAAAGTGAAGCTGGTTTCTTTAAATCTGGAGGATTTCGAGGAATTTATTCTGGTTTAGGTTCAGCTGCCCTTGGATCAGCTCCTACTGGTAATATTTTTTATGTATACATTGAGACTAATTAATACCACATGAATATAATAGTGCAATATATCATTCACAGTAGTGCATGGTGTTTAATGCAAACAGAGTAACTTATATTATCTGTGTATTGTGGGCTTTGATATGTCTTTGTCATCAAAATTTGAATTCTTTGCTTTGTGAAAACGAAATATTCTTTTTAAAAGGAGGTGGTCATTACAATGTTTGAATTTCATGTAAACAAACTTTTTATTTTACGCAGTATATTATATTTGATTAATTTTTATCTGTAATATTCTTTTGTAACCTTTAACCTCCTTTAGTAGGTTGTTATGAGTTAATAAAAAATACTAGTTACTATACAGTTCTCCTAACAACTATAGATTTACAGGGCAATGTTTATGAGCTCAATACGGCGCTAAACTGAGAAGTGAAGAATTGCGGCTTACCAGATTTCCTTCAATAACAGCCAAACAAGGAAACGTCAAATCTT